TAATTATATAAATATTGTTTTTATTTAATATCAATTTTAATAATTAATAACTAAATTTTGCATCATAATTGCATTTGTGACGAATGTTTTTTTGTGACAAATAAAATTGTTATAAATAACAATGTCATTTTTTTTTATCACTATAAAATTATTTTCTGTGAGAGGTACTTAATTTGTCATTAAGAGCATTAGTGACAAGGGTTTTACTAACGGTTTAAATTTTATCACTAATAATAATTTGTGACAAAAAATAAAGATTTAATAATCAATAATTTAGTCACTAAATGTGGATTTTCTTGTAGCGCAGACAGGATATTGGAGCCCAGAGAAAGGATGAAACAGGGAGGATAGTTGGAAACTGGGCTAGGAAAAAGATAGGATGTGTTCTCAAAAGGAATACAATAATGTAATAGGCCTAACATGCTGTAACTAGATCATGGGTTCATGGTACCACTTATTCTTTAAACATGCTGTAAGTAGATCATGGGCTCATGGTACCACTTATTCTTTAAACAAATAAAGATATAATTTGTTGTTAAAAAGACAAAAAGCATAAGAAGTAGCCCTCACTAGGTATACTTTGAATGGGGTTTAACAAGCTTCTTAATTTGTTTGCAAAAAACACATATTGTCAAATTTTTTCCCCTTCAAATTTTAACAAACTTTCCACTTCTTTGAGTACACAACTAGTCAGAAGCAGATATAGTGCGTGACAACACAACCCTAATCGACCCTGCTTGGATCAACATTAGCAATGATCAAGCTCTAACATTTTTAAATTAATGAATTAGGAAAAACCATCTATCTATTTACTATATTATCAGCTCACGCTCCATGCCCTCCCCCTTTCCAACCTCCTACTCCCTTCCCTTCTCCCCCTTCCCCTCTCCCGATGCTTATCCCTTTCCATTGCTTTCCTCTATTTTACTCTCATTTTTCTAAATTCTTCTCTCCTTTACAATTGTTCTATTTCCCTTAATATCTTACATTTTATCTTGTTCAATTATTTGTATATATGTAGCTCAAAAAAGTCCTCTCTTGCGTCATCTCGTTTTAGGCCACAAGGATTTTTGTGCTTCTAGTACTAGGTGTCGTCCCTTTTGGTGGTCCCTTGCCAGTGCAATTTTGGTCTCCATTGGAGTTATCATCGTGGTCTCGGTGGCTTGTTGGTGTCGGATCCATGCGTGCCCATTTTGCTGGTTTTTTTTTTTTTTTTTGCACAGCATTTTGCTGGTTTTTTTACTACTTATATAAAGTTTTAAATTGATTAGTTAATTAGCTTAGGAGGAGATGAAGATGGATTTGTAGTTTTTCCTCGATCTAGAGAATAAGCTTTCCTTCACTGAGATGCTGCTACCATGTGTTCATGAATTGATTTGGCGAAGTAGTCACTCCACCCATAAGTTTTACTTTCATTTTATATATTACCTTCGCATTATATTATATCGATCTTGTGGTCCATAATATCTATCCTTTTATCATTAGCTTTTGTGACCAATTAAGTATATATTTCCAAGAAATAAAAAATACTACTGCATTAGCTGATTAAAAAAATATTAACAGTCTTGGTGTAATATACCAATGCTGTAAAGGTATCTTTTCTTTTTTTTTAATTTATGTTGATTGTGATAAACATCTTTTCTTTTTTGTTAGGAATAAAATATTAAATTAAATCAAAACTGGAATATATTAATGAATCGATTTGAAAAGAAATAATTTACATAAAAAAATTACCACAAAAAATTTACCCTCACAACAACTTGCTCTACAGAATATTCTATTTTATTTTTGCAATCCACAGAATATGCTATTGAATATATGGAAATTACAGATTGAATTTTACCTTTTATT